GGCCCCGCCCAACCGACCCGTCGACAACTCACTCCTTAGACTCGCGTGGCCAAGTCACCAGGAGACAGGAGCCATGCCTCGGGCCCCCCTACATGCGAAAACCGACGCATAGCTCCTTCCGGTGGGGGAATATGATAGGGGTAAAAACAAATAAGGCATGACACACCGGATTTGACGTAACACCGCCCCATGTCAGCCACCCCCAAACGACACACCGCGCCAAGAGACGAGCATTAATATCAGCGTAACGCGCACCCTCACCGACCGTACCCGCACGACCTCATCATGCTAACCTCGCACGACCGGACAGGGCAGGGGAAGGCGTCGAACAAGGACATGCCATACCCCACGGTGACTCGGCCTTACCGCGCAATGCCCACAACGGCAACGGACGCGTTCAGGAGTACGGCCCTGCCCCGGCAGGATGGCGCGTCAGGTAACATCGAGCTCACCTATAAATACTCTCGGGCTCCAAGCAGGCAGGGTAAGCGGACAAACACACGATTCCATCTAAGACTCCCCTCTTCATTTCTAACTTGATCATCAGAGGGGTCGGGCCGAATCACCGACTCGACCAGTGTGCAGGTACTCGACCGAAGCCGACCCGACCCGACGACTCGGAGCACATCAGCCCGATTCCCCGTGACCGGTCACCCTGGGGATCCCGAGAGGAGCTTCACCTGATCCTGGCCGCTCGGACCCTCGAACCAGCCGTGCCGACCCCGAGATAACGGCTAAAAAAGTTACTTGCCGTAACACGCATTGCTGTCAAGATGATGAAAATTACATTTAAGTCTCTTTACGATTGTGCTGGCAGTATGAGTAAGACATATCTTGAGGTGCCAATCTTGACTGTCATTCACACGTAAGATTGATGTCATGCCTCAGACAATAATCTAATATACCACCTTAATCTTCATTTCGTTGGTATTGTTACACCTCAGGCTTCCATTTCCTAATCTCTCTTCTTTAGATTTCTATTTCATATAAAATAATTTTATTAGTTTCCTTAATCTGTCTGCTCCACCTATTTTCACCAATTTTCTAGAAGGAAGTAAATGCTATGTCCAACTAAACCTTCTCAATTACTGAGTCAGATCAAAGGACCAGTTCTGGTTTGTTCTTTAACATTGCCCATCACCAAGCTGCCTCAAGCAGAACCTGCTGCTATGAGACATTAGCAACACATTAACTGGAAGAATGTACTCGGAAGTTTCAGTGCGGGTGATCATAATTTCTCTAAGCTATCAGTAGCAAACATATGCTGCCACAAGCAACTCCCTGTTGTTGTTTTCTGCTCGATGCTCAGTGCTTTTAGTGGTGGCCTACTTAAAAGGCACTTCAGCAATCACTTGCCACTGTGAATCTTTTCTTGGCACTTTGTGCACTCCAGTAGATGTGAGCACAACACCCAAGCTTTGATACACTTTTGAGCTTCCCCAAGTGAGCACACATACAGCAGCTGTCCTAATTAATTGATGATTTGCAAGACTCTCTGAAGATTATTGCCTGGTTATGGGATGATTGGCCATGTTAATTAATACTCATCATAATCATAACCATAGCCTTCTCAAGTAAAGGTGATATATATATATATATATATATATATATATATATATATATATA